GTGCATTCTTGCGTTGTGTTAAACGACATTCTTAACTCGTTTAACTATCCTGCCGCCCCTAGACGCGTTAAGCGGATAGACTACTCTCCAACTCCCGTAGCTTTCGGATCGCCTCCTTAACCAGACTCCGTGTCGCCCTGCCCCGAGGTGCTATGTTACGCACTATACGTGCGGTATGACGAACCTTCTTTGGGTGCCGGAATTTTTGAGGCTGCTGATATGCGTTGGAGGTGACTCCATTGCGGGGCGGTCGGCGCAAGCGGTAGGATGCGGATTTGGATGGTGCCGAGATTGAGCGTCGAGCCGATGTTGAGCGTGGCGCTGAAGCTGGAGCTGAACGTGGCGGTGGATGTGCTTGGGAGGTGTTCTTGCGGTGAAGAAGGGTGTGATGGCGTTGGGCGCAAAGCTTGCATACGCCAGCGGAGGGACATTCACTGCTGTGATGTGACAGCGCAAGACAGTTGGTACAGAAGTGGTGTGCACGAGCGATCAGATAGCGTTGCGCTGGCTGCATTGCGCGAAATACGTGGCATACGCGCAGGGCATGATGACGTGCGCACAAACGGCATCGCTGATAGTCCGCTCCTTCGTCGTCGGGCTGAGTGTCCGGAACCGAATCAACAACCATGGCCTCTGTTTGCGGTTTTTGTACAATACGGGGTGCCGGGGTTGGACCACCGCTGCTAGCTCGCGGTTTGGGTGCAGGAATGCTGCTGCTACTGCGCGGTGTAAGTGTCGGGCCACCATTGTTGCTTCGTGGCGCAGGTTTCGGGACGCCATTAGAGTTGCCGTTCTCCATCTGTAAGTAAGCCGGTGAAATACGATTTTCAGTGGGGAGTCTACAAGACAGTTGAAGAAACGTGAGATTAGAATATTTTATTCAGATACACAGAGATTTAAATTCATTTGAGATAAGAGAATCTGTTATCATGAAAGTGCTTAAAGGCTTTAACAAGTGCTACTTTGGAGAAATCAGAGGGGGGGCGTCACCAATTGGTAACGGGCATATTTTGACTATGGGGCGAGTAAGGGTGCCAGATTGAGTGCGTATATCGACAACTCGAACATGTCCGTCTTTGCCGGGATGTGACCTTTCGATGCGGCCTAGACGCCATTCAGTGGGAGGTAAAGTATTGTCAACAATAAGAACGCAGTCACCGACTTTCGGTTCTGCCTGGGTATTTTTCCATCTATATCTCTTCTGTAAATCCTTGATATAATCCTCTTTCCACCTTCGACTAAACTCGTGATGTAACACCTTCACTTTTTCCCACCTATTAAGGAGGGACAGATGGCTGTGGTCGACTTCAGGGAGTGCTAAGAGGGGGGCGCCTCGTAAAAAGTGGCCAGGCGTAAGCGCTGTGAAGTCTGTGGGGTCTTGGGATAGAGCAGAGATTGGCCGGGAGTTTAATACGGCCTCTATTCTGACTAACAGGGTGGTGAACTCTTCAAATGTGAATTTGCTGGGTCCAGCAGTCCTTTTGAGATGCATTTTGAAACTTTTGACTGCGGACTCCCACAAACCGCCCATATGGGGGGCTCCTGGCGGAATAAATTCCCAGTTGATGCCTTGAGGTGAGTATTTCTGGATGACGTCTTGAGATACCTCCTTCAGAAATTCGATGAACTCCTTTTCGGTTGCTCGTTTGGCCCCGACAAAGGTTTTGCCATTGTCGCTCATCATCTTAGCGGGATAACCCCGTCGTCCGACGAAGCGAGCAAACGCAGCGAGAAATCCGGCAGTGGTCAGATCGGAACACAGCTCAAGGTGGACTGCTTTTGTAGTGAAACATACAAAAACAGCCACATAGCCCTTCACCAACGTGTGCGATCTTAGCATTGAGGCCTTTATCTGGAAAGGTCCAGCAAAATCTACGCCCGTAATAGTAAAGGGCGGAGCATACGTGCATCGTTCCGAGGGGAGGGCCGCCATTATTTGCGATCGCGTTTGCTGCTTGTGGACCGTGCAACTTTTACATTGGAAGATGCATTTTTTTATGAGGGGCTTAAGCCGAGGGATATAAAATTCCTGCCTTATGACTTGCTGCATGAGACGAGTTTCTGCATGGAGGAGCAGTTCGTGCAGAAAGCGGGTGAATAGGATGGCGAACCGGGATTTTTCAGGAATAATGATGGGATGTCTTTCATTATAGCTCAAAGTGGCGTGAGCTAATCGACCATTCACGCGGAGCAACTCGGTTTTATCTAAAGACGGGTTGAGGGGAAGCAGAGGACTCCGTTTATCTATGGGTTTGGAGTTTGCTAAACTGGCCTTTTCCCGAGGAAAGTAGCGAGATTGGGTCAAAGCTAGGAGCCTGTATTTGCTATTACGGAGGTCATCATGGGAGAGAGAGATGGGATTATTTGACCTAACCTGTCTGACTCGGTCTCGAAGACACTGTATAAATTTAAAAACATACGCCATAACTCTAAGTGCGCGGGGAAACGAGGAGAAGCGATCAAGGATATCGTGATCTTCCTCTGTGGCATGTAATGCCTCGACTCGGCGCAATTCTGGAGGGGAGATATTAATGGCTTAATAGCCATTCCGGTCCATGCCACCAAAGCGAAGAGGCCGCTAAGTCCAGGGGTCTGCATCCTCTGGTGCCCAGATCTGCGGGGTTGTCTCTGCTGCCCACATGCCGCCAGGTGGCGTTTCCGACGAGATCTAAAATTTGTGCCGTGCGATTGGAAACGAAGGTCTTCCATGAATGAGGGGGTTTTTCTAGCCATGCCAAGACGATCTCGGAGTCAGACCATAGTGTCAGTTTCCTCTTAGATAGGTCGAGTTGTGACTGCACTACGGCGACCAGCTTCGCTAGGAGAAGGGCGCCGCACAATTCAAGTCGGGGTAAACTGGTGGTTCGGAGAGGCGCTACTTTGCCTTTGGAGACCAGCAGATGAGAAGAGGTCCTGCTACCATTCGTGGTTCGCACATATATGTTAGCGCAGTATGCTTTCTCGGAAGCGTCGCAGAAGCCATGTAGCTCGACTTGGTCGGCTGGGACAAAATCTACCCATCGGGATATTTGGATGCTAGAAATGGCTTGGAGATTGGTTGCGAAGGGGCTTGACCTGGTCATCCCAGTCAGTTCCGTCCAGCCATAGTTCTTGTAGCAGGATTTTGGCTTGGATCATTATGGGCGTAAGCCATCCTGCGGGGTCAAACAATTTGGCAACTGCCGAGAGGATTTGTCGTTTTGTACTGGCGGATGACGCTGGGATGGAATCAACGGTGTACGAAAACGTGTCGGTTAGAGCGTTCCACTGAATCCCTAGCGTTTTAGTGGTGCTTGTTGTTTCAAATTCTAGGAAGTTTGTATCAAGCAGGTCGTCTTTGTTGATGTTTTTCAAAATTTCAGGGTGGTTGGCTGTAATCTTTTTAAGTGGGAAGCCTGCCGAATTGAGCGCTTGGATGACTTGAGCGAGGGATTCTTCGGCTGAAGGGAGATCATGACCACCGGAAAGTATATCATCAACGTACGTTTCATTGTTTAATATGGGCACCGCTAAGGGGTACGTGGTTTGCACGTCATCTGCGAGCTGGTGAAGGGTACGTATGGCGAGGTAGGGTGCGCAATTCAAACCAAACGTGACAGTTTTCAACTTATAATCTTGTATTTGGCTATTTGTAGATGGTCGAAATACGATTCGTTGATAGTCTTGGTCGTCTTTGTGTAGCAGTATCTGTCGATACATTTTTTCGACATCGCCGTTGAAGACAAATCGATACATACGCCACTTGAGGATCAATAACATCAAGTCGGGCTGGAGGGTTGGTCCGGTGTAAAGAACATCGTTCAGGGAATGTCCGGACCCCGATTTCTTCGAAGCATTGAAGACGACTCGGACTTTGGTCGTTCTTTTTTCGGGTTTTATAACCGCGTGATGTGGGAGGTAGAACGACCAATATTTGCCTTGAGAAGATATCTCGTGGGAAGTTGTTTCTTCCATATGGTTGAGGGTGAGATATTCGTTTAATACATTTTCGTAAAGTGATTTTAGATCGCCTTTTCTGAGCAAATTTCTTTCCATGCTCAGGCACTGTTGGAGGGCGGGGGTGCGAGACGGGCCAAGGGAGATAGGGTCTGGGAAGCTTGGCTTAAAGGGCAGTCTGACTACATAACGACCATCCGCTGCTCGTGTGGTGGTGGACTGATAAAATTTTTCACAGTTTTCATCATCAGGCAAAGTGAGCTTGGGTTTCGGAACCTCTTCCAGCTCCCAAAACTTTCGCAGCTGGGAATCTAAAACCTCATTGGAGATCGGTGCAGCTTGAGTGGAGAAACAGGCTATTTTTTCGGGAACCTGACCACTTAAGATCCAGCCGAATATGGTGTTTTGTGCAAGCAGATTTTTGGAAATTTTCTCAATGCCTTCCAGCATTATTTCAGGAATGAGGTCACTGCCAATGACCAGATCAATTTGGGACGGGGAGTGGCAGTTAGTATCTGCTAGCTGGAGGTGAGACCATTTTTCTCGTTGTTCGAGAGTTGGCTGGAATTTGGGAAGCATTTTCGTCAACTGTGGCAGGACTATTGCTTGAGCCTTTATTTTCGTGGTCAAATCTGCGGAGGCTAAGATGAGATTGCATAGTTTGTTCGAAGTCTGAACAACTCTTCCTCCCATGCCAGAAATTTCAAAGTTAGAAGCTTCGTATGGTAGCCTTAGTTTATTTTGGGCTTTGGAGGAAATAAAGGTTCGTTCCGAACCCTGATCTATGAGAGCTCTGAGTTTGAAGATCTCGCCCTTGTGCTCAACTGGAACTATTGCTGTTGGGAGGAGAATCTTGCTCTCATTTTCCGAGTAGAACGACTGTACTCTTGCTCTGTTTGAGCATGAAGGCTCCTCATGATTTGTTGCCGACCCAGCTGGACTTTGTGGGTTGGAATTAGCGGGCGTCGTCAAAGCGACCTGAGATGTCGTTCTTTGTGTTCGAGACTGCTGTCTTGGAGGCATGGGGGGCGTGTCTTCATGAAGCATTGAGTGATGCCGTTCTTGACAATGGGAGCAAGTATATTTACTTGAGCAGTCTTTTATCAAGTGGGTCTGACATAGGCAATTAAAACAGAGGTTGTGCTCTCTCACAAACTTTCTGCGATCCTGAGTTGGCAGTTGACGAAATTTGGAGCACTGAGAGAGAGTGTGTTGAGGTTTATTGCACATTGGGCATTTGTATGGTTTTGTGCGTTGTTCCGTCATGTGCGCTCGGATTTGGCAAAAGGAGTTGTTGTGAGAGTTCTGAGAGGTGGGGGGTTTAGGGAATGGCCTACTGTTAGGGGGGGTTGGCCTCGAGTAGCCTATTGTCGAAGGATTAGTCCGCGGAGGTTTGGGTGCACGAAATTGATCTACCCTTTCAACCACCTCGTATCGAGTAGTGAGGAACTGGTTCATTTGGGACCAGTTCGGGAGGTCTTTCCTGGAACTGAGGGACTGCTCCCATAGGGCCACGGTGTTATCAGGAAGTTTGGAGGTAACCAGGTAGATCAGAATGGGATCCCAGCTTTCGGTGGAGACTTGCTGGGTGCCTAGAATCTGGAGACAGTTATTCACCGATGATTGCAGTCTCTGTATGTCTTCGCTATTTTCTATTGGGATGGGTTTTAGATTCATAAGGATGCGGATTTGGTTATCTACTAAAACCCTTTTGTTTTCATAGCGAGCTTTTAGTGCTTCCCATGCCAGCTCGAAATTATCGTCACTCAGAGGGAATTGTTTAACTATTTGGGCAGCTTTTCCTTGCGTTTTGTACCTGAGATGGTACAACTTCTGCGCCTTAGTGAGCTTAGGGTGATTTATATAGACCGCCGTGAACATATCACGGAAGGACGGCCATTGCTCATAACCCCCATAAAAGGTTTCGGTGTCGCAAGGTGGGACGTTTAAGCTTATGCCTGAAGTTTCCTGAGGAAGTGATGTACTGGCTTTGGGAGTGGGACTTGTGGTTTGTGCTACTAACTGGAGTTGGTCTCCGATTTGGGCTTTTGTTTCTTCATATATAATCAAACATGACCTATATTTACTGTAGGCAGACGCTCTAAAGTCTTCGGGGAGGTCATGTTCTTCAATTTCCAAAGTCGAATCAAAGGCGTTTTGAACTCTATTCCAAAAGTTTTCTAGGCTCTTGTCTTTTATTTTCAGTACAGACTCAGTATTTTCTTCGATCGGGGCTGATCTGAATCGGGCGCAGTAATCCATCAAATTATCTGTCTCCGATATAAATTTAGTACATATGACCGTTTGTTTTGCCTTTTTTGGCTTTCCGCTTGTACGCGTAGAGCGCTGAGATTCCGCGGGGGTCTCGAGAATTTTTTCTTCTTCGCTCATTCTGGGACTTTTTGGCTTATCTTGAGTGCTAGTGAGACCTAGCATTCGAAGTCGAATGAGCGGACCTAATTAAGGTTGGGATGTGGGGGTGATCAAATACAATCGGGGCTTTACTGTGCGGTCGCAAATAATACGGTTTGAATTAATCACAGGGGAGCGCCTGGAAACCAAGAGAGTGTGGGAAAACTAATAACGCTTGACCCTGTTCACGCAAACCACAAATGGAGATAATTTGAGCGCAAAATGTATGGTTACCTATCTAATGGACTGTATTTTATCTTTTCGAGCACTGTAACTGCCTTGCCTTTTTTATGGGTATTTGTTGTAGGGAGTTCACTGTACGTTATTTTATTTACTTTGTACCGCACTTTCTTTTATATGCCCAATACGTAGTTGGGTATGTGTATGAATGTATGTGTATATATATATATATATAGGGATTACTAAACGAGGGGTTAGTTATGTATTCCCAGCTATAATTCCTTGTATGTTTGTTTGGGATTAACTGATTAGCCGCTGTATATACTATGAGCTTTGGTATATGTGTATATATATATGTACGCCAAGTACTATTTGCTTGTATGCTACAGAATGTTATGTGAAGTACATATGTATATGTATTCTTGCAAAAGTCTTTGTGTGGGTAAAAAATTCGTGAAAATTGGCGCAAAAAAGGTAAAATTGGCGGGAAAATGAAAATATGGCGGGAAAATTGAAAATTTATGGCCCGAGCAAGGGAAAATGTATGACTTAATGCTGGCGCTTACTAACCATACAAGGAATTATTTTCTGCCTTTTTTAATATCTTTGTTTCACCGCAGGGTTAGTAAAAAATTGATTTTTACTCACGGTTTTGCTGGGGATACTTGGTTTTGGGGTTATGATATTCCACCGGTGCGGCTCTCTGTTGGCGCCGAAGGACCAATATTAAGGGGGGCTCTACTCCTCTTTAGGGTGCTGCGATCCGGGCGTGGAGTGGCGGAGATGGCGTTGCGGTTGAAGGTCGGCGAAGGTTGCGGCGGTGGTGGCTGGATGGTGCGCTGCTACTAGGGTGACGGTGACTGCCTTCTGGCGGCGATGCGGTATTCCCGCGGCGGGGATGCTGGTTTGGCGAGGATGGGGCTGTTGTGCTCCCGTGGGTTGCGGCGGCTTCCGTGCGCAAACTCACGTGGCTTTCAAACGAGGGGAGTGGGCTGGCGCGCTTACCGACACGGATTTGGCGACTCGAAATAAAAGATACCGAACTTGAACTTTAGGGTACAATTTTATTCAATAATCTTTGTTTTTGATTAACGCAAAGGTATTTTTTCTGGGTTGCGACCGCACACGACAAACTTGAAAAATTTTATGTATGTATAATTCTTTGTTGACATTTGTCAACCTATATGTCAGCTGCGCGCGCTGCATTACCAACGCGCGTTGCCAACCACTCAAATTCAATGCAAACTACTTATAAAACTTTTACAATGCAAGTTAGGGTATTCACTAAATACGTTTTACAAGTTGGATAATTGAAGATACTAATAGGTAAATATAAATATGCAAGTTATCAATTTAAACAATTCAATGTCATACATAGTGCACTTTTGCGTTGTGCCAAATTACAATTTTAAGGAATTCAATTTTGTGAAAGGTGCATTCTTGCGTTGTGTTAAACGACATTCTTAACTCGTTTAACTA